GGACCAGGCTGAGGTTGGTGGTGGGATGGAAATTGTTGAAATCATGGTGGAATTCCTCAAGGGCTTCTTTTCCATGGGTCCAGATGATGAAGATGTCATCAATATAGCGCAAGTAGAGTAGGGGCTTTAGGGGACGAGAGCTGAGGAAGCGTTGTTCTAAATCAGCCATAAAAATGTTGGCATACTGTGGGGCCATGCGGGTACCCATAGCAGTGCCGCTGATCTGAAGGTATACATTGTCCCCAAATGTGAAATAGTTATGGGTAAGGACAAAGTCACAAAGTTCAGCCACCAGGGTAGCCGTGACATTATCGGGGATAGTGTTCTTGACGGCTTGTAGTCCATCTTTGTGTGGAATGTTGGTGTAGAGGGCTTCTACATCCATAGTAGCCAGGATGGTGTTATCAGGAAGATCACCGATGGATTGAAGTTTCCTCAGGAAGTCAGTGGTGTCTCGAAGGTAGCTGGGAGTGCTGGTAGCGTAGGGCCTGAGGAGGGAGTCTACATAGCCAGACAATCCTGCTGTCAGGGTGCCAATGCCTGAGATGATGGGGCGCCCAGGATTTCCAGGTTTATGGATCTTGTGTAGTAGATAGAATATCCCAGGTCGGGGTTCCAGGGGTGTGTCTGTGCGGATTTGATCTTGTGCTTTTTCAGGAAGTTTCTTGAGCAAATGCTGTAGTTGCTTTTGGTAACTCTCAGTGGGATCATAGGGTAATGGCTTGTAGAAACTCGTGTTGGAGAGCTGCCGAGCAGCCTCTTGTTCATATCCCGACCTATTCATGATGACAACAGCACCTCCTTTGTCAGACTTTTTGATTATGATGTCAGAGTTGTTTCTGAGGCTGTGGATGGCATTGCGTTCCGCATGGCTGAGGTTATGGGGCAAGTGATGCTGCTCACTAGGGATGTAGACTCCCTCCTCAGGCCCTACGCTACCAGCACTCCCAGCTACCTTCGAGACACCACTGACTTCCTGAGGAAACTTCAATCCATCGGTGATCTTCCTGATAACACCATCCTGGCTACTATGGATGTAGAAGCCCTCTACACCAACATTCCACACAAAGATGGACTACAAGCCGTCAAGAACACTATCCCCGATAATGTCACGGCTACCCTGGTGGCTGAACTTTGTGACTTTGTCCTTACCCATAACTATTTCACATTTGGGGACAATGTATACCTTCAGATCAGCGGCACTGCTATGGGTACCCGCATGGCCCCACAGTATGCCAACATTTTTATGGCTGATTTAGAACAACGCTTCCTCAGCTCTCGTCCCCTAAAGCCCCTACTCTACTTGCGCTATATTGATGACATCTTCATCATCTGGACCCATGGAAAAGAAGCCCTTGAGGAATTCCACCATGATTTCAACAATTTCCATCCCACCACCAACCTCAGCCTGGTCCAGTCCACACAAGAGATCCACTTCCTGGACACTACAGTTCTAATAAACAATGGCCACATAAACACCACCCTATACCGGAAACCTACTGACCGCTATTCCTACCTGCATGCCTCCAGCTTTCACCCTGACCACACCACACGATCCATCGTCTACAGCCAAGCTCTGCGATACAACCGCATTTGCTCCAACCCCTCAGACAGAGACAAACACCTACAAGATCTCTGTCAAGCTTTCTTACAACTACAATACCCACCTGCAGAAGTAAAGAAACAGATTGATAGAGCCAGAAGAGTTCCCAGAAGTTACCTACTACAGGACAGGCCTAACAAAGAAAATAACAGAACGCCACTAGCGGTCACCTTCAGCCCCCAACTAAAACCCCTCCAACGCATTATTAAGGATCTACAACCTATCCTAAAGGATGACCCAACACTCTCAAGTCTTGGGAGACAGGCCAGTCCTTGCCTACAGACAGCCCCGCAACCTGAAGCAAATACTCACCAACAACCACATACCACACAACAGAACCACTAACCAAGGAACTTATCCTTGCAACAAAGCCCGTTGCCAATTGTGCCCACATATCTATTCAGGGGACACCATCACAGGGCCTAATAACATCAGCCAGACTATCAGAGGCTCGTTCACCTGCACATCCACCAATGTGATATATGCCATCATGTGCCAGCAATGCCCCTCTGCCATGTACATTGGTCAAACTGGACAGTCTCTACGTAAAAGAATAAATGGACACAAATCAGATGTCAAGAATTATAACATTCATAAACCAGTCGGAGAACACTTCAATCTCTCTGGTCACGCAATCACAGACATGAAGGTCGCTATCTTAAAACAAAAAAACTTCAAATCCAGACTCCAGCGAGAAACTGCTGAATTGGAATTCATTTGCAAATTGGATACTATTAATTTACGCTTAAATAGAGACTGGGAGTGGCTAAGTCATTATGCAAGGTAGCCTGTTTCCTCTTGTTTTTTCCTACCCCCCCCTCCCCCAGATATTCTGGTTTAATTTGGATTTAAACTTGGAGAGTGGTCAGTTTAGATGAGCTATTACCAGCAGGAGAGTGAGTTTGTGTGTGTATGGGGGTGGGGGGGGAAGTGAGAAAACCTGGATCTATGCAGGAAATAGCCCGACTTGATTATGTAAAGAGTTGTCACTTTGGATGGGCTAGCACCAGCAGGAGAGTGAATTTGTGTGGGGGGGGTGGAGGGTGAGAAAACCTGGATTTGTGCTGGAAATGGCCCACCTGTTGATCACTTTAGATAAGCTATTACCAGCAGGACAGTGGGGTGGGAGGAGGTATTGTTTCATATTCTCTGTGTGTATATAAAGTCTGCTGCAGTTTCCACGGTATACATCTGATGAAGTGAGCTGTAGCTCACGAAAGCTCATGCTCAAATAAATTGGTTAGTCTCTAAGGTGCCACAAGTACACCTTTTCTTTTTGAGAGTAGAAGCTGTGTTAGTCTGTATCTGCAAAAAGAAAAGGAGTACCTGTGGCACCTTAGAGACTAACAAATTTATTTGAGCATAAGCCTCCCTTGCTAGGCTTCAGATAGAGAGGTGCACTGTCCATTTAGTCCACCCAATTCCTTCTTTGGGGGCAGCCAGGCGAGGTCACACCAGCATCCCTAATTCAGTCTGGGGAAGTCTTCTGAGGGTAATATCTGGGCCAAAGCCTTCTACTCCTTGTTCCCCATTCACAGTGCCACCCCCTTCTAGCAGCCAGCTCTCCATTCACAGCAAGCTGCAGTGCATGGGGTCTCACAGCTACCCCACTCCCTACCCCGCCCTTTCCTGTTGCTAGCGCCCAAAGGAATGCTGGGAAATGTAGTTCCTTCCCTGCTCCAGGGCCAGCACTATAGGCAGGGAGCTGGCCAAGAAACTACAGTTCCCAGGGCCCCATGGGTTCTCAGCTCCCAGGCTGGATCCCTGCAGCTCCGAAGCTCCATTTCTGCAGCACTGCAAAGGGGGGAGGAAGTGAGTGTTATGGGCTCCCTTCTGAGCTTGGGCCCGGCGCTATGGCGTCATGGTAAATCCAGTACTGAGGCACGGTTGTTATATAGGGAACCTATGTCATGTAACCAAGGTTGCTGATTGGTCTAGTCTTCACAACAACCTCAGATGTTGAAGCAGTTCACGACCTCACCCCTCTCCCCCATCCTGTCACACAGGGTTTCCCGGGGGAGACGACACATACCCTAACCTTGCCTACCTACCTTTTGCTGTTTGCAAGTAAGATTGCTCCTAGCCTTACCTGCCTCCTGATACCTTCCCTCCCAGGGATCTCCAGGAGGAGGGTATTTCTTGGTGTCCCACCCCCAGTGTATTAAACTGTAGGATCTTCAGAGAAGTGTACTAGGCCCAACCCCCAATGTTAAGCTGCAGGGTTGTTGAAGAACTCAGATACTATGGTAAAATGGGGGGCCCTAAGTACCGTAGTTATTCTATAGATCGGGGTGGCCAAACTGCAGCTCAAGAGCCGCATGTGGCTCTTCTACAGGTAGAATGCAGCTCACGGAGCTCCCCACTTCCCACCCCCCTATTCTCTGCCTACCAGACTGGGGGGGGGGGGGGGGAGGGCAGAGCTTGGGGCTTCTGCCCTGTGGTGGGCTGGTGGGGCTAGGGGCTTTTAAGAACGGCCATACTGGGTCAGACCAAAGGTCCATCTAGCCCAGTATCCTGTCCTCCAACAAGCAGGGGAGGGGTTCATGGCATAGGCTCCAGCTTCCCCTATACACGAGGGGTACTTGACCTCCACCCAGGCCCTGCCTCCACTCCACCCCTGCCCCCAAGACCCCGCCCCTCCTTTCCACCCCCTCCCCCGAGCACACTGCATTCCCGCTTCTCCCTTTCCCTCCTGGAGCTGACCTGCATGCTGCAAAACAGCTGTTTGTGGCAGGTGGGAGGCGCTGTGAGGGAGGGGGTAGAGTGATCAGAGGGGCCATCGGTGCAGGGGAGAGGGAGGAGCTTGGCTACCAGTGAGTGCTGAGACCCTGCTAATTTTTCTGCGTGGGTGCTCCAGCCCTGGAACACCCATGGAGTCCACAAACTATGGTTCACGGGGCTTTAGCAGGAGTGGGGCTGAAGCCCTGGGCCCCAGCAGGCGCCTCCTATGTGGCTGAAGCCCCGGCAGGTGTGCCCCGGCTCTCGAACGTCTGAAGATTGTCATATGCGGCTCAGAGGGTCAGTAAGTTTGGCTACCCCTGCTATAAATAGATTGCATCTCTTCCCATGTAGTGCTGCCACAGATGTGATCGGCAGGGGCTCCCAGGCTGCAGCCCCTAGATTTTGAAAGACAGGTGACTGCTGGCACAGCAGTTTTTACACTGACCCTTCGGCTTTTAAATTCACTCTCCCACTTGGCCCAAAATAGCTAAAATTTGTAGCCAGCCACAAAATACATTTGAAATAAGCAGACTTCCTGGTGTTCAGCTGACAAGAGGCTCTGCGATGTGGCAGAAGCCAGCCAGCAGATGGTGCAAGGGTTGAAAGTGAAACAACTGAAAGAGAAAGGAAAACAGGCTTCTAAAGAGGGGGAGGGGGGAGCATAAAAAAACTTACTGATGTGGACAGACGGACAGGGAAATCTTTGTTTGTTTGGGCTGGGTGAGGATTTCACACATGAGTCGCTTGTTCTTCCCATGCTGAAGGAAGTTCGAAAGGTAAATTTTCTGTCTGGCTTGTGCGGAAGTGAGATTATATCCAAGCAAAGCAGGGGGTCATCTTTTTCTTAAAATGCTTCTAACAGCCTTAAGGTCCTTCACAGAAGCAGAGCTTGATCATTTCCAGTTCCGGTTAAACTCCTCATTCCATTGAGAAGGTAGGGAATGTAGAATGAGAACTATGTTTCTGGCTTTGGTGGATTTCAGTGAAGATGCGGCTTTCCCAAGATGTAGTGCGTTTGTGCTTTTCAGAATGTGCTGTTCTTTCTGTGTTTAACAGCATCAGTAACTTGCGTAAGAGAAGGTAAAAACTGGAGATGGGTTTGAGCTACAAAGTTCAGCTGCAGATCCAAACCTCGTCAGAGTATGGGGGTGTTCAGATCCAGGGTTTTGATTCAGTCCAGGGTAGAGACAAGAGACTTATCATGACATTCAGCTATGGGGGTGTTGGATCTGGGCTTTTGCTCTGGGACTGTCTCTATCCTCTGCATTAAATAAGGTAAAAGTTTTTAAGTCTCTAAGGCAGTAAGTCTGTTCAGTTTCTCGGCTTTCGCTATACAGATTGGATGTCACAGTTCTTCTGATTTCATGACAAATATTGCAGCAGGCATGTAAAACTGAAGAGGGCTGCTCCTTTCCTATTCAGAGAATATACAGCCCAACAGCAATCACTAATCTATCCTGGTGACAGTGACTGTAACAATTATTCTGAAATCGGCTTGGGGATGCCCTATTCTAATTCTTTCAAGAGTCTGAAGATTGTATTCCAAGCAGAATCTTAGGGTCACCCCAGACGGAGAGTGCAGAGGGAAGGTGGGGAGGGAGAATATTATGTTTCACAGATATATCTTGGTCCCCGTGCACAGCCCAAACAAATGGGATTGTTCAGAGGAGCTGTGCAGGGTGATGCCCGTATCACCTCCAACCCGTAGGCAGGGCCTTTGCTGTAGTGTCCTTGGTCTGTTAAACTACCCCTAGGTGGGTTTTGGCCAATATATCCTTCTCCACTAGGGTGACCAGATAGCCAGAAAAATCGGGACAGGGGGGAGGGGGGGGGAGTATAATAGGAGCCCATATTAAAAAAAGTCCCAAATATCGGGACTATCGCTATAAAATTGGGACATCTGGTCACCCTATTCTCCACCCTCATATTCCCCCCCCCCCCCCCCCGGCCTGCTTTGGAGGCCTGTGCCCTAGCTGCTAGGCTTTATAATAGTGCATGCTCTGAATACTTTTCTAGAATACAAGTACAAAGATACAGCTTGGCTGCTGAGGAACTCATCAGAGGTGGGGTGGCTAGATGGAAAACAAAGTGATTTATTTAACGTTTTTATTCTTTCATTTGCTCTGTATTAAGATCCCTTTTCAGTATAAATGAATATAATTATTCTTATTGCTACTAGCATTAATTCTACTAACCATATGAAATCTAGGAAATGATCATGTTTATCCATCTTTCAATAACTCTGTAGAATTAAGGATTTGTTGTTTTGCCTTCGAAATATGATAAACTGTCTTTTGACCTTTCCCAGCACTGAGCCAGCTGCCTGAAACGCTTTGGGCCTGACTCTTCTCTCGCCCCCACTGGTTTAACACTCACATAACCCATTGACTTCAGTGGAATTATTCCTGATTGCCAGCAGCATGAGAGGAGAATGCATCTTCAGCTTTGTTATTCTGAGGAAATAAAACTCAGTGGTTGCTGAGCTGGCAAATTTCATTTTCATTTGGAGTTCTTTCCAGTGATGAAAACACGCATCTCGTGACCTGTACAGTAAGTGGCTGTTTCTTGGATGCACCCCCTGGTTCTCTCCAGTGAGTTGTGTGTGAATCTTGCTGTATTATCTCAGCTGTAATTTCCCCCTCCAGCCCCAATCAGATTTTTAAAGGAGCGACTGAGGTTCCCCATGGATTATAAGAATTCAGCACAGCCTCTTTTCTTTCTTATAGAAACAGGACAAAATCAGAACCTGATCTGAGGCCGTAGGAGTAGTGGTTCAGATAAAATAAACCCTGAACCCAAAGCACTCATGATTTATTTTTTGGGCATACAACCTAAAGTAAAACCAGGTTTCTCTGTTCACTCTGACCATAGAGTCATACAAATGAAGGGTTGGAAGGGACCTCAAGAGGCCCTCAAGTCCAGCCCCCCTGTGCTGAGGAAGTTTGAACATCTCTCACGGGTGTTTGAACAACCTGTTCTTAAAAATCTCCAAGGAAGGCGATTCCACAACTTCCCTTGGAAGCGTATTCCAGAACTTACTATCCTTATTGTTAGAAAGTTCTTCCTAACAGCTAACCTAAATCTCCCTTGCCCCACCACTACTCCAGCCCAAAGGAGGCTGACCCAACCCCAGCCACTGCTTCATCCCTGGGGCCACTGCTCCAGGAGTCTGGGGCCAACCAGCTGCTCTGGTGGTCCAAGGGTCGCTGCTCTGCTGGCCCTGGGGCTGACCACTGGACATCTGCTCCAGCCTTGCCGCTGCTCTTGTGGCAGGGGCTGACAGCCGCTGCTCCAGCGCTATGGGGGCTGACCCAATGCTGGTTGCTGCTTCAGCCCTGGGGCTACTCCTCCCTCAGCCCTGAGGCTGACAGTTGCTCTGGCCCTGCCCCGGAAGAAGTCCCAGAGATCTCAGAAAGTCACGGAATCCGTGACTTTCATGACAGAATCATATCCTTAGTAATCATACTTAGCGTTTATATACAGAGCTTCTCAACCAAAGATCTCACAGCACTTTACAAAGGTAGGTAAGGATTATTATCCCCATTTTACACACAGAGGTACAGCGTTTAGCTGACTGGCCCAGACTCCCATGTTAAACCAGTAGCAGAATCTCAACTAAAAGTCAGGTCTCCTGACTCCCCAACCCATCCTCTAACCATTAGATCACACTGCCATCCCCAAAAGGAGGTATAAGCCAATTGATTTGGATAGTATGAGAACCAGCTGAACCTGGTGCAGTAAATCAGTTCTCCCTTTGAAACAGTCCCCTACAGGCTTGACTCTCTTTGCAGGCTGGGGCCTAGCAGGTATTGTTGGATCATAGAATCATAGATGATTAGGGTTGGAAGAGACCTCAGGAGGTCATCTAGTCCAACTCCCTACTCAACGCAGGACCTAATCCCCAACTAAATCATCCCAGCCAGGGCTTTGTCAAGCCAGGCCTTAAAAATCTCTAAGGATGGAGATTCCACATCATGCTTTTGCTCCCTTTCTAATGTTTCTGGGCTTCCCCATTTTATTGTGCCCCGGGGTATGTGACAAACCACTGAGCCTCCAGAACCATTCAGATCTCCCATGTGTTATGGCACCATTTGGATGATTGTGTATACTGCACTTTGTGGTGCATTCCATGCATTCAGAGACAGTCCCTGACTGGTGTAAATGGGCATAGCTACACTAAAGTCCACAGAGATTTAGGCCAGCTGAGGAACTGTTTATTTCTAGTGTGACTCATCAGGATGACTGTAGCCTTCATCAGCTTGCTAGGTCCACCCTATTATGTGGGTTGTTTTTTTTTTTTTTTTCAATTACCTTATTTTCTTTAAGGCAACTGACCTTCATTGGGTGCAATGACGGAAACGTACCAAGACATCCTGCTGATGATCTTGGAGGAGCTGGTAGAGGAACAGAGAAAGAAGTTTAAATTGAAACTCGGTGACACTGAACTGAGGAAGGGCTATGCAAACATTCCCAAGGGACGTCTGGAAAAAGCTGACGTAACAGACATGGTTGATCTGCTGATTAGATACTACCAAGAGGAGTATGCTGTGGAGGTGGTGATAAACGTGCTGGATCACATCAATGATAAGGATCTGGCTGAAAGGTTGAGAAGAAAGTCAGCTGAAGGTGGGTGGTGATTAGGATGATATCTAGCCCCTGTCTGTAAGTATAGATAGAGATGAAAGGTAGGAGCTGGATTCTGTGGCAGCCCCATGACATTGCAGTCCTGGTGCAAGCTGGCCCTAAAGCCACAGGAGATTGTCCTGGTGTAGGGTGATCCTTCAGGGGCACAGAGCCTTGCCTTCTCCAATATAAACACATAGCAATGTCTATGTGTCATAAATATAAAGGGAAGGGTAAACCCCTTTGAAATCCCTCCTGGCCAGGGGAAAGCTCCTCTCACCTGTAAAGGGTTAAGAAGCTAAAGGTAACCTCGCTGGCACCTGACCAGAATGACCAATGAGGAGACAAGATACTTTCAAAAGCTGGGAGCAGGGAGAGAAACAAAGGGTCTGGGTCTGTCTGTATGCTGCTTGCCAGGGACAGAACAGGAATGGAGTCTTAGAACTTTTAGTAAGTAATCTAGCTAGGTATGTGTTAGATTATGATTTCTTTAAATGGCTGAGAAAAGAATTGTGCTGAATAGAATAACTATTTCTGTCTGTGTATCTTTTTTGTAATTTAAGGTTTTGCCTGGAGGGGTTCTCTATGTTTTTGAATCTAATTACCCTGTAAGATATCTACCATCCTGATTTTACAGGGGGGATTTCTTTATTTCTATTTACTTCTATTTTTTATTAAAAGTCTTCTTGTAAAAAACTGAATGCTTTTTCATTGTTCTCAGATCCAAGGGTTTGGGTCTGTGGTCACCTATGCAAATTGGTGAGGCTTTTTATCCAACATTTCCCAGGAAAGGGGGGGTGCAAGTGTTGGGAGGATTGTTCATTGTTCTTAAGATCCAAGGGTCTGGGTCTGTAGTCACCTAGGCAAATTGGTGAGGCTTTTTACCGAACCTTGTCCAGGAAGTGGGGTGCAAGGTTTTGGGAAGTATTTTGGGGGGAAAGACGCGTCCAAACAGCTCTTCCCCAGTAACCAGTATTAGTTTGGTGGTGGTAGCGGCCAGTCCAAGGATAACGGGTGTAATATTTTGTACCTTGGGGAAGTTTTGACCTAAGCTGGTAAAGATAAGCTTAGGAGGTTTTTCATGCAGGTCCCCACATCTGTACCCTAGAGTTCAGAGTGGGGGAGGAACCTTGACACTATGTTTAAAAAACAAATCCCCCAAAACAAAACACTCCACTGCACATCCTGCTTCCCCCTGGAGAGAAGATGAGAGAGAGAACGAACCACACATGGGAGATGTTAGCCATCTCAATGCACTACTGGAAGATGCTCTGATGCTGTAATGATGAGGGAGGTATTAGAACCTAGACAGAATGCAATAGTGGCTCCTAGGCTACCTCTGCTCCTGGCTGCTAACGAACATTTTGGCTGGGGCTTCCTTGAACCCTAACAATCCCTAATTGAAGATGGCCTTAAGGGCCAGCATGACAAACTCCTTGCTGGATTGCACCGTGTATTTTTTAGACACAGCTGCGGCTCTGAGCCCATATGTCTGTATCATTATAGAGTTATCATAGATATGACATATATACTCTGTTGAGAGCATGTCCAGGAATCAAGACATGATAAAGTGTGTCTTTTCTTTCAGTATGGAAAACCAGACCTGTTTCTGTAAAGCCCCCTGACATCGGTAAGTCACTGCCCCAGCAGTTTGTGCACTATCCTATTTTTGTTTTAACACCAAGAACCAACAAAGTGATATGAAATACAGTGGCACTTGTGTGAATGTGCTTGAATTCAGTGCAACTCCATTTACAGTAAAGTAAAATGGAAGGTCAGAATACATCAAAATGTGCAGCTCCCAAGTCTGCTTAAACTGAAACTTCCTCTTAGACTGAAGTGGTTCAGTGGAAACAAAATGGATTTTCTCTAAGAGAGTTCTACTGGACCCAAACGTGCCAGGTATTTGCACAGTACAGTTTGTCTAGGTGTAAATCTGAAATGGATTTTGGGAAGATCTCTGGTAAGGAAATTGGATCCACGTCTGAGCTTTGCAGATTAAGCCATCTTTACTGTAAAATGTCCTCTAAAAATGACTGTTTCTGTCATATTGATATATTTAAGGATATGTTCTTAAATAGACTAGAATACCGATAAACTGTTCTCTTCTCTTTTCCAGACCACAGAGCGAACTATGTGGCCTCCGTGAAGGAAAAATTTAGAAGAGTGAAGGATTATAATTCCAGGCCAGGAGAATGGGTGTCTTTGGAAGACCGCTACACAAAGCTCTTTATAGTAAAAAAACACCGTCAAGCAGAAGATAAAGAACATGAGCTACTGTCTAGAGGAAAAAGACACATGGAGATCATGAGGAAGCCGAGCAACTTTGCGGACTCCCATGTTAATGTGGAAGATCTTTTTGACACATTATCAGATGGCACAATAACGAGAAAAGTGATCTTACAAGGAATAGCAGGGATTGGAAAGACTGCTACAGTTAGCAAAATTATGTACGATTGGTCATCTGGCAGGCTTTACCAGGGCAGATTTGATTATATTTTTCATTGGAGCTGCAGGGAGCTGAACCAAAGAACAGAAAACCTGAGCTTAGCTCAATTAATTTTACAAAACTGGGGACATCCAAAGCCAGAGATAGGGGAAATTTTGTCTTGCCCAGATAAAGTCTTGTTTGTCATCGATGGCTTTGATGAACTCAGGTTTCCTGAGGATTATGATAAAAGTAAAAGCTTATCCTGTGATTTGAACACACCTCACTCAACAGCAGCAGCTGTGGTAGAAAGTCTCCTCAGCAGCAAGAGCCTTTCAGAAGCATGCCTTCTTGTCACAACAAGACCCTTAGCCGTAGGAATGCTGGAGACCCATATGCAAAGTGACCTCTGGGCAGAGATTGTGGGCTTCTTGGAGGAAGACAGAAAGGAGTTTTTCAAGAAGTTTTTCAAAGATGAAGAGAAAGCAGCCTTTGCCTACAGTTATATCCAAGAAAATGATGTAGTGTTCACCATGTGTTTCATCCCCCTCATCTGCTGGATTGTCTGTACAACCCTGAGCCTTCAATTGAGGCATAGCGAAGTGCTCGATCAGAAGGTGAGCACAACCACCGAAATATTTACCTATTTTGTGTACAGTTTATTGCAGTCCCATGGTCATGCACAGACATCCACACAAGACCTTTTTCACAACCTTGGATCATTGGCCTATGCCGGTGTGAGGGACCAGAAAGTGCTGTTTGATGAGAGCATGCTGAAAAAGTGTAACTTGGAGGTGTCAAAAGGTCCATCAACTTTCCTCACGGAATTGCTGCAGGCAGACATTTTTGTGGAAACTATCTATAGCTTTGTCCATTTGACAGTTCAGGAGCTGTTTGCCGCCTTGTTCACCTTCTGGAACAAGGAGAAAGCTTCTGAGCTCCTGAAAGAAGCCTTTGTGGAGAATAAAAGCCATTTGATCTTAACTGTTCGCTTTCTGTTTGGATTGAACAACGACAAGTCACTAAAGCCTTTGAAAAGGTACTATGAAACCTGCATGGGCATTTCAAAGGATGAGCTTCTGAAATGGACTAAGAAGGCGCTTCTTATTTGCCAGGAACAGGGCGAGCAGAACCATCTCCTCCTGGAGCTGTTGCATTGTTTGTTTGAGATTCAGGATGAGGAGTTTGTCATAAGTGCTTTGGAGGAGATCAAGGAAGTGGTCTTCTTGGAGAACAATCTAGGACAGGATGACCAACAGGTGATACTGTACAGTCTGCAGCATGCCAAGGAATTCAGTCAGCTGAAATTGGCCAGTCTGAAAGAGAGAGACATGATCAAACTGGTTCCGTTGCTAGGGAAATGCAAACAGATCCAGTAAGTACCATCAATGTGACCAAACTTTAGCGGAGTTCACAATATTCTGATCTCACTTGTCTCAGTGTGAACAAGGAGTAACTTCACAGAAGCCAGTGGAGTTACACTGCTATAAGTGAGGTCAGAATCAGGCCCAATAACGTTGTGAAGGTGAAACACACAGCAAAATTTGGCCTGAAAAATCCTTGTTACTTGCCGTTATATATGAGCCAGCAAGTAACCTCACAGCATAAGCTGAGTTTTCAGGGTTTGCAGTTAAACAGCGCCTCCCCGCATCTGGACTCCTTGGGTATGTCCACTTTGGAGTTGGAAACATCCAGACAATACACCAGCTCTGCTCGTTCTCCTGCGCTAATATTAGCAAAGTATCCAAGCCCGCTGCCTCTCTGGGCCCATTCTTGGGGGACTAGCTCATGCCGCCACCTATGTCCCAATGTCCACATTGCTATTTTTGGCATGCTAGCTTGAGAAAAGCTAGCATGTGTCTGTCTACTGGGCAGAGGGACACACTCCCAGCTGCAGTGTAGACATATTCATTGAGAGACAGTAAGCATGGAAAGCCTCAGTTTCATTTTTAGTCTCTCTTCAGAGAGCTTCATATTAAGACCCTTATCCAAACATATTCAAATATCTGCTGTCTTCTTCTCTTCACTTGTCTGCACTGCACGTCCTTCATCCCAGCCCAACCAAATCCTCCTCCTTTCCTTCCCAGCCTTACCCTTCTCTCTTCCCAAATAGCGCTGCAGCTCCAATGCCTAGCCTCCTGCTCCTTTTCTGTAACCCCCAAGTTCCATGTCCTCCTCCTCCCAATCCCTTACCCCGACCAGGACTCCTGCCTCTTCTGGTCCCATCATGGGGTATCATCGGCTCCTCAGTCTCTCTACTCAGCCCAGATCCAATTGTTAATTAATAAACTAAATACTGTGCAGTGCTCCTTCACTCTTATATTTTCTGTATCTAATATAAGACTACTACATATTGTACTCTAGACCAAAACTCCATGGGAGTCTATTGCAATCATTCCTGTGATAACATCCGTCTCCGTGCTGAATGGTCTTCCTGATTAGCAGAGCATCTACTCCTGTAGCCTCCGGTATAGATACTAACACTGCTAAATCTGTTTTTCTCCCTATAGTTTGAATGCCTCTGGAATCTCATTGTCTACGGTATACAAAGTGTGTGCTTACCTTTCACAAAAGCTTAGAATGACCAGACTGCACGTGGAGCACGAAGAAGAAGATGAAATGTATTTTACAGTGGAAGCAAGCTGTGAAAGGGACCCTTGCACGTAAATAGAACTATTTGTCTTGCTCACTCCAAGAGACAATCTAGAGAGAGAAATCATTAGCGGCAAACACTGCAGTATGGCTTTGGACAGTGAAGGTAGAATCATATGCTATTTCTATAAAAGGCAGCCAGAGCAGGATAGTTGTGCTCCTTTGATATCTGATGGCAAGAGAGTTGAAAGAGAGGCCAACAATAGTGTACTTTCCAGTTCAGCAGTGGATAGTAGGACCTAGCCTTTCCATATGTTGTCCCTTTCACACTCATGTGGGATAAAAGTGATCATGAAATTAAATTCATGATTCTCAGAATGGTAGGAGGGCAAACACCTCAGCATTATGTCAACAGGATAGCTTCTCCTGTTGACATAACTACCGCCTCTCGGGCAGGTGGGTTAACGACACCAACGGGAGAAGCTCTCCTGTTGGCATAGTAGCATCTTCACTAAAATGCTACATCAGTGCAGCTGCGCCGCTGTAGCACTGTATGTGAAGACAAGCCCTTAAATGGCTTCGAGTTGAAAGGGCCTGATGAAATACGTCCTACAGCACTAAAGAGATCTCTGAGCCATTAGCGATTATCTTTGAGAATTTGTGGAAGACAGGATAGATCCCAGAGGACTGGAAAAGGGCAAATATAGTGCTAATCCACAAAAAGGGGAATAAGGACAACCCAGGGGATTATAGACCAGTCATCTTAACTTCAGTACCCAGAAAGATGAGCAAATAATCAATTTGTAAACACCTAGAAAATAATGTGATAAGTAACAGTCAACATGGATTTGTCAAGAGCAAATCATGTCAAACTAACCTAATATCCTTCTTTGACAGGGTAACAAACCTTGTGGATGGGGGAGAGCCGTAGATGTGGTATATCTTGACTTTAATAAGTCTTTTGATGCTGTCTCACATGACTTTCTCATAAACAAACTAGGGAAATACAATCTAGATGGAGCTATAAGGTGGGCGCACAACTGGTTAGAAAAGCATACTCATTCGTCAGTGGTTCACAGTCAAGCTGGAAGGGCGTATCAAGTGGGGTCCTGCAGGGATTTGTCCTAGGTCTGGTTCTATTCAATATCTTCATAACTGATTTGGATAATGGAGTACACTTATCAAGTTTATGGACAATTCCAAGCTGCAAGTGCTTTGGAGGACAGGTTTAGAATTCAAATTAATCTTGACAAACTGAAGTAATGGTCTGAAATAAATAGGATGAAATTCAATAAGGACAAATGCAAAGTACTGCACTTAGGCAGGAATAATCAGTTGCATAAATATAGGGGAAATGATTGCCTAGGAAGAAAGACTGCAAAAAAGGATCTGGGGATTATAGTGGATCACAAACTAAATACGAGTCAACAATGTAATACTGCTGCAAAAAAAGTGAACATAATTCTGGGATGTATTTGCAGGACTGTTGTAAGCAAGACACAAAAAATAATTCTTCCACTCTACTCAGCACTGATAAAGACTCAATTGTAGTATTGTGTCCAGTTCTGGTCACCATACTTTGGGAAAGATGTGGACAAATTGGAGAAAGTCCAGAGGAGAGCAACAAAAACGATTCAGGGTCTAGAAAACATGGCCTATGAGGAAAGATTGAAAAAGAAATGGGCTTGTTTAGTCTCAAGAAGAGAAGGCTGAGGGGGGACATAACACCCTTCAAGTATGTAAAGGTGTTATAAAGAGGAGGGTGATAAATTGTTCTCCTTTACCACTAAGGACAGGACAAGAAGTAATGGGCTTAAATTGCAGCAGGGGAGATTTAGGTTAAACATTACGAAAATCTTGCCAACTGTCGGGTAGTTGAGCTCTGGAATAAATTGCCTAGGGAGGATGTGGAATTTCCATCATTGGAGATTTTTAAGAACAGGTTAGACAAACACTTGTCATGGATGGTCTAGATAAGACTTAGTCCTACCTCAGTGCAGGGGACTGGACTTGGTGACCTATTGAGGTCCCTTCCAGTCCTCCATTTCTATGATAAACTCACCTCTGTATGCAAAGGGACAGCCCTAGATTAGTGCACCATGTAATTCCACTGAAGCCTTATTTTGGTGGGTTTAGATAGGATTTACTTGACGTGTAGACCTTATGCTGGCCCTCTGCACAGGGGAGAATTTCACCCAGTGAACTCCTGAGTTCTGATCCCAGCGCTGCTGAATCACTGCAAGGGGCCCTGGGCAAGTTGCTTAACCTCACTGTCGCCATTTTGATTTATCCATAACATGAGATGGATCTGTCATGAAGATTAATGCCCGTGAAGTGTGTTCATGATGGAAAGCTCCATATATGTATGTGATACATGTTATCATCATCTCTGTATTTTAATGAGATGCCTAGTTCATGACAAAGTTTATCAGGCACTAGTCCCAGTTGACAACCCCATCTTAAGTCTGCCAATGCATCACAACTTGATAAGGCTCAGCGCTTCTAATGGCCTTCCTCAAATGCAACATACCCTGGTGGGGTACAGTTGCTGTGTCATAGCTTGCTACATGTTCACTCAGTCAGTGAAATTCCCACCCCATGCAGGGAGCCAGCATGAATCCTGTGCACCTCCTCATTCCTATGCACAGGGGTGAATGTCATGCCTAGCTAGTGTTGGTCTCATCAAGATCACAGAGCTGTTTTGAATAGCAGAGCAACGTAAAGAATCCTAGAACTATAGGTTTAGAAGGGACCTCAAGCTGCCAAGATGCAGGATTTGTTGTGTCTAAAAGAAGTGGTATTCTAAGTCATCATTTTGTTTTATTTGTCTTTGTAGTGAATGCATATGATGATGTTAGAGGTGACCTTCTTGAAAAGGAAAAGAAAAATTGGACTTGTGCCCTTTTTTGCCCACTATTTTTCCAAAAAAGTGCATTTGGATTTTTGTCCTATGCTTGCATTTATTTTGGAAATATCCAGATATCAAATCTAGTTCTTCTCAGGTTTTGGTGGATGGACCCATTGGAGGTCTCAGAGATATGGATAGTGATTCCTTTCAGCCCTTGCTTGGTGGGACTGGGGTATTAACAAAGAGAAGTTTGCTTGCGCATGTGTCTCTGGGTTTGAATTAAATAGCTGTTAGTTAAAAGTCTGTACTTTTATTAACCTGAATTTTAAAAAAAGTCACTTCCTCTCTCAGTGAGTTTTCACTTGCATGGTGTCTTTAATGGCATAAGGCTAACAGCACTCCAATTGACCATAGAATCTTAGAGGAAGAATTGGGTAGACAAGATCTAAATTTTGATGTCATGAAAAAACATGAAAAAACATTTTTCATTTCAAAACACCATATGGGTCTCTTTCATATATAAAAAAATTTTTTTGAAGGCCACTAGCCCAATTCTCCTCCCCTCCACCCCTTCCTATTCCTTTGCTGGTCACCTCTGAGCAGTAAAACCATTCAGTTTTGTATTAGCCAAGTGGAGATCAGACTGGTTTTGTCCTGACATCTCATTTTATTTTCCTACTCTGTTAAAACCTCTAAGTAAGGTGATCTCATTCTGCTTACAGAATAACTTTAGATAACCTTCCTGAAGACACTGCCATTGCAATTTGTGACCACGTTATTCCAGCTCACCCTGGCATTGTCGCCCTTGATGTGAATAGGATTCAGGGAAGTGAGGAATTTGTAAAAAGCCTGAAGAATAGTCTTCTGGACTCGGACTGCAGACTGGAATCAGTGGGGTAAATGGACATTTGTCATTTCAAGTTATCAAACAGACTCACCATATCCTTCCTCTCATAGAAACTGAGCCAGGTTCTTCCTGATGATAAGCATCCATTTATTTTAATTTCATACTTAAGGACCGAGGCAGGTCATCTTGTGACGGTCAGGAAGGTGTTTACAGATGGTTTGATTCAATTTTATTTTCTGCCAAGCTTCAACATTGAGAACCCCAGACTCCAGGCTTTCCAGGACATCTGCCAACATCTTGCTACTCACCGTAGCCCGAGAAAATTCCTCTTATTCCGAAGGTATGAGGAGGATGAAATACACTTTGGATACGAGGCAAAGGATGAGGAGAAGAGTGGCAAAAGGTACGTTTTAATTGATTCATCTTCCTTTGTCTCTTGTTGAAATAATATGTACCGGGGGGAGTGTCACTGGGACATCAAGAAGTGGATCTAGCTTTAATAAAACATCACAGGGGCTTTCTTTATAGAGGGTTTACATGTATTTTCATCCTTCTCTGAACTAAGACAGCACGTAGCCAAAGCCTAAAAAAAATGGAGAGATTGAAATTTGGATTTCACAGCCAAGCGTTTCAGTGTGCAATCATCTCAGATTTGGTCTCAGAACATGAGGGTTAACAGTCGCAGCATCCAGATTCAGAATGCGTGTAGCATTCAGCATGAAAATGGACTGCCTAAAAGTTCCAGTATCCTGCTCTCAACTTCCTGGTCTGATTATCCTGGTTTTAGTTCATAAGGTAGCAGTCCCAGTTCACAGACTTCAGCCTGACCCTCATACATAAGGCACCCCTGTTTCAGACTACAACATACCCCTGCCCTGATTGGCCCAGACGCCACTTTCCTCACCAAGCCTCGTGTATTTTTTTCAGGATCAAATCAGGGCAATTAATTCCTGCTTTTCCTGGCTAATTGTTGTCATGGCAACCCCCCATTTATTTCCAGGTCTCAGCACTCTCAGTCTCTGGAACTCATTTAATTCCCAAAGAAAGGGGAAAAGGAACTAGCACAGGAAAATGCTGCAGAATAAATAGATATAAAGAACAGGGGATGAGGGAGGGAGAGATCAGACAGTCTCTCAAACTCCATTTGTATCCATTTACTCAGGCCTTGTCTACATTACACAGTTTTTTCAACACAAGTTATGCCAACATAAAGCCACTGCTTTAATTAAACCGCTGTTGCATGTCCACACTATGCTCTTTGTGGAGGCGGAGTGCATCCACACTAGCAGCTCTTGCATCAACACAGAAAGCAGCACGCTTTGGGTAGCTATCCCACTGTGCATCTGGCTGCAGGGTGCTTTGGGAAGGATTTCTCCCCCTCCCCCCGCAGCAATAGCCTGCCCTGCCTTCCTTGCCACAGAGTTCCTAGTGCTGGGGAGAGCAGGATTCCACATTAATGATTCTGTGATTCCCTCCAAGTTCTCCCACAGCTTCCTCTTCCCACAGACCAAGATGATCTACCCCTGTCCTGTAGTCCAGGCATGAATGCGTTTGCTGCCAGGAGCCAGAATGCCCAGCTGCTGTACAGTAGCTATGAGAGCTGTCCACACTGAGGAATGTCAACACGTCCCAACACTTCCCCAGGGTTTTGAAAGGGGAGGGGCGCATGCCTGTGTAGCTGGATACAGGGCAGCGGCATTCAAAACAGTGAGCAGAGTGGTCACAGCGGGTATTGTGGGATACTTCCTGGAGATCAGTTACAGTGACTTAACAAATGCAGAGTCTACACTGTTGCTTTGTCGCCCTAACTTTTCTGCAAAAAGCTCTATGCCAACAAGAACAAATGGATATAAACTGGTCATCGGGAAGTTTAGACTTGAAATTAGACAAAGGTTTCTAACCATCAGAGGAGTGAAGTTTTGGAATAGCCTTCCAAGGGAAGCAGTGGGGGCAAAAGACCTATCTGGCTTTAAGATTAAACTCGATAAGTTTATGGAGGAGATGGTATGATGGGATAATATGATTTTGTCAATTAATTGATCTTTAATTATTCATGGTAAATAGGCCCAATATCCTGTGATGGGATGTTAGATGGGGTGGGATCTGAGTTCCTACAGAGAATTCTTTCCTGGGTATCTGGCTGGTGAATCTTGCCCATATGCTCAGAGTTCAGCTGATCACCATATTTGGGGTCGGGAAGGAATTCTCCTCCAGGGCAGATTGGAAGAGGCCCTGGAGTTTTTTCTCCTTGCTCTGTAGCATGGGGCACGGTTCACTTGCTGGAGGATTCTCTGCCCCTTGAAATCTTTAAACCATGATTTGAGGACTTCAATAGCTCAGACATAGGTGAGAGGTTTATCGCAGGAATTGGTTGGGTGAGATTCTGTGGCCTGCATTGTGCAGGAGGTCAGACGAGATGATCATAGTGGTCCCTTCTGACCTTGATATCTATGAATAAGGTGGTTTTATTTTGTTTGCTGCCAAAAGTAGCATTGTAGTGTGTCCACCTCTAGCTTGAGAACATCAAGTGGGGGGCAGTTATGTTTTTTGGAGTCATCTAGTTGAGGTGTGGTGCATAGAACCAGATTTCTGAACTTACAGTCACGTTTGAAAGGTTGTTTAACATTAAAGTAAAAATACCTGACCAGGACGATTGGTCTGCAATAATCTTTGTTAGGATCTTCAGAAGCTCTAAATAATGATCTTTAGTTCAACACAGTGCTGATGAACTTTGCCAGACAGTACCCCAATACAACCACCAAACAGTGCAAAGTAAATTCTTCATGAACTGGACTCCTTTCCCGTTGACCTTCTGTAGCATTAGCATGTCTCCTAAGGCAGTATATAACCCAGGCCCATTCAGTGAGGTGATTTGTCACCTTTTAGTGATGACTGACCCATATAGCCAGGTTGATAAGCCTGCTTCATCTTGGGCTAACAGAGCGAGATCTTTTAGCTCAGGCGCCAGAGCTTATATTTGTAAGATCCAGAGGTTGTTGATTTGATCCTTGCTTATGATGATCCACCCAGGGGCACAGCATTACCACTGGTGTGTCTTCCCAGACACCAGAGGTGCAGATTAGGCCCCTAAAGCACTTGAGGCATTGACACATTTAACGAGGATCTTATATGTACTTCCAGCTTTAACTTCATCTGAGCAATACGGGGTTGGTTGGTAGGTATTTGGTATAGTGATACATAAATGTAGACCTAGAGAGATTAGAAACATGGACAAAATATAATCAAGTGAGATTCTATTTGAAAACATGCAAATGAATACATCTGGGGGAAATAATCTGAAACAGAGATATTCAGTGGGTGGGAAATGGTAATGCTAAAAGAGACTTGAGAGGGAAAGGAGAGCAATTTAGACATGAGTTTGTGATGTGATAGAAAAGGGCAGTGTGATTTTGGGGCTGCGTACGCAGAAGCATCATACCCTAGGATTTGCAGACGCTGCGCTTGTTTAGATTTGTAACTTGAGTCAAAGTAACATTATTGTTATGAATAATAGTTGATAAAATGATGTCATTTCTACTGCCTCTTTCGCCAGATTATCTCAGAGCGGTTAATTGAAATGGAAACCGCTGTGGAAGAAGAAATGGAAAAGCCATGCAGTAATTCTTTTAGCACCTTTTTTCTATAGTTATAATGTAATCTTGTTCACTTTCTTTTATCCAGACTCCAAAAGAAAAAGAAGAATGAAAAGAGAAAGGGAAAGAATGAGGCACAGAAAAAGTGTTTTCCCTGGCCATGTTTAATAAGGAAAACGGGAGAGAAAAAGCAAAAGAAAAAGGACTGCATGTAAATATTCCCTTCCCCTTTTTCATGACTCTTTCTTGAAATATTTTCAGTAGTTCACTGTAATAAGATAGAAGCCCCTGAATATATTTACCCACAAAGGGACAGATACCAGATCCAAATGAGAATAAACGATATACTGTTGTAAGGAAAAAATAAACTGTAGAAGGACTCGAATCAAACCCATGCATGAACTTCAGGGAATTTCAAACCTGGTTCCAAACTTCATGATTTGTGCCCATCACTATATTAAGTAAACCTGAATCCAGGATCAGGAATGCCACAAACTTTGGCAACATCTAGATCCAAATTTTGCAGTTCAGTCCCATCTCTGAAATAATGGCAGAGAAGAAAGGAAAAATGTTTGTTTAGTTATTTTCCTTGGTCAGATTATTATTATTATTATTATTTGTTTACAAGTGTGCCCATGATGTGCTAGGTAGAGCTGGGAGAAATTGTTTGAACAAAACTTTTTTTTGGCAGAAAACACAGATTTGGAGAGACAGAAACATTTCATCAATTCATTTTGACATATTTTGTTTCAACATTTTCTAAACAAAATGTTTAATTTTTTTCGTTTAAAACAGCTTTTCAATTCAAATTTCCTTTTAATATTATTTTTTAAAATATGTTAAATGCTCAAAAACGAAACAAAATGTTTCATTTTGGGTTGAATGAAACCTGAAATAATTGTTCAACCTGAAATAATTTTTTCCAGCTTTTCAATTTGCTAAAAATTTTATTTTTGGCTCTATCTGAAACTACTTTTTCCCCAGTTCTTTGGAAATGCCAGTGAACCAGAAAATCCATTATTCTCTCACCTCTTGTGCTAGGTGCTTTCTAGACATACAAGAGGAGCTCACAGACTAAGGTCAGACAAACAAGTAGACAGAGGTCAGGGACTGGGGACAACAAAATGGATTTTCTGTACAAATCAATAAGATTTGCTAAAAGCAGTGTGGCTGGTGTGTTGTAAGAGGGACTTGAAAATGGAGACGGCAGAGGCCTAGCATGAGTTCAAGGGAACTGAATGGCATGGAGGTGATTGTTTGAGGTGGATGGACAAAGGCAGTTTAACTGGTGAAGTGGAGGGAAAGGAGATGATGCATATCTTGACAAGGGAGGGCCACTCTATACAGATCCTTGAAGGAGGATCATGCATCATGTTGGCTCTTCCTCTATGGGTTCTCTTCCTGACTCTGCTATACTATCTATGTGACTATGGGTTTTCACTTATGACAAGATTTTCAGAAGTGTCCTATAATTTTTGGATGCTCAGTTTTTGGGTGCTCAGATTGAGACCCCCGAAGGGCCTGATTTTCAGAGGAGCCAAGTGCCTATAACTCCAGTTGACGTGAATAAGAGGCTGCGGGTGCATGGCTGCTCTGAAAATCCGGCCCCAAGTGTTCCAAGTTGGGCATCCAAAACAAGTGGCCAATTTTGAATATTTTGGCCTTTACTGCTTTGTGCCTCTGTTTCCCCAGCTAGTACGCACTTTGGCAGAGTGTTTAGAAATCCTCAGATGGGAAGTGCTACTGGTGGGAAAAGAGTTGTTGTTTCTATTTATTGTTCTAACTTTTAGTGTTAAAATCTGCTTTTTCCACTAGTGCTGTCCTCGCCTGTCTCCCTGAAGAGTATTTTCTTGAGCTCACCATGTGGGTCACCTCCACATTCACTCCGCTAGCCCTGTGCCTGGATGAAAATTCCATCAATGATGAGCTGATGAAAACAATATGTGAAAATCTGAACAGTACTGATTATCAGCTTCAGTCACTGAGGTGATCAGAATCTTCTAAGGTATCTTCCTGGTATCCAGGATAGGAACATAGGAATCTGCCAGAATTGCCAGGACCAGACCAGTTCTCCATTTGGTTCAGTAGCCTATCTCTGGCAGTGACCCGTACTAGATGTTTCTGAGGGCTGAAGTTTATACCAGCTAAGGATCTAGCCCCCAGTTTGACTTTCATGAAGGTCTTACACAGTAAATACTCGCCAGTGGGAATTGCTCTTGAGTTGTTCATAATGAGAAATCCAGGGGTTGGTAGGGGGTCTAAAAAATAGATGTTCATGTAAGTTCAAAATATCTGTTACAGCAGTCATCCCTCTCCAGTTTGAAGTCTGGACTATCTCTGTCTATAGCTGTCTTTCAGTCTAGGGCTTGTTTAATCTTTTCTCTTTGTATGTTTCTTTTTAAAGCCTTCGCTCTTGCAGCATAACTCAGGAGAGCATGGCTAATATCTGCTCACTATTCCTCTGCAACACGGCAGTCTCCTTGGACCTTCAGAGTAACTCTGTGGGGGATGAAGGAGTTAAACTACTTGCAGTGTGCCTGAAGAGTAAAGGTTGCTGCCTAGAAAAACTGAGGTACAGTTGGAGAGAGATGCTCTGGTGTAACTGTTGATATGGAAAATGAGGCACTGTAACTAGCGCGTAAGGTGGTATCCATTGGCTTCAAAGCATAGTTACTAACATAGGCCCTGGTCCTGCAAATATTTATTCATGTGCTTAACTTTACCATCCATTTAAATGGGACTGCTCTTGGTAGGCAAGATAAGCATGTGCCTGTGGCCTGGTCTACACTAGAAAATTGTTGGCTTAACTATGTCTCTCAGGGGTGTGAAAAATCCCCCCCCCCAACCCTGAGCAATATAGTTAAGGTGACCTAACCCCCAGTGTAGACAGCGCTAGGTCGATGGGAGAATTTTTCCATCAACCTCGCTACTGCCTACCGGGGAGGTGGATTAACTACAGCGACAGGAGAATCCCTTAGTGGCTACCCTGAGTGTTTGCAGGATTGGGGCCATAGTCTAAGAAATGAAGAGCCGGATGATGGCCGGCAGAGAATTTGCTGTGTGGACAGGAGATCTTTTGCTGGCCAAGGCTGCCTCCCTCCTGGCAGAAGGATTCTGGGGATAGGGCACGGGCGGGATAGGGTGGGGGAGGCAGGGCGGAGTGAAGGCCTTCTGCACCCAGTCCTCTGAGAGCTGAGTAGAAGACACACATCAGTCCAACTTTTCTTTCATGGTTATTTCAGCTTATCAAGTGCTGCCCTCACAGAAGACTGTGTTCCTGCCATCACCTCTCTGTTTTCCCGGAAGAACACCCTGATTTGGCTTGACCTGAGCTTTAATCACCTCGGAGATGGTGGAGTGAAAGCCTTGTGCTCTGCCCTGAAAGATAAGGAGAGCCATCTTGAGAAGCTAATGTATGTCCAGGCTCCATTCTTTTTCCTTTTGATTTTGTTGATGCCATAAAGAGTCCCGGGTGGGTTGTTTACAAAACCGTAATGCACTCCGTAATTCTTCATTTTCATGATGGTTTCAGTGATTTCAGGCAGCAATTAGGTTTTCAAACTCTCTGATTCCGAGTCTTTCCTCTTTCTTCCTATTGCGTAGCCTTGAACACAATGGCATCACTAACAACTGTGAGCAGGAGCTCATCCAACTCATTGAAAACACCCTGTCTCTGAAATATCTGTGCTTGGATGATAATGAGTTTACATCCACCTCCAAAGCCCACATCTATGGCGTGTGGGACAAGTATCATGATGAGGAGGAGGTGGAGGAAGACTGACTGTGAGTCGCAGGTGCTGCACTCAATTCTCCCTTCTTGGCTGTGAAGGTAGGATCTCAGGAACTTCAGTATGTTACACAAACATGGTGCTAAGGAAAGGTACCAAAATGAAACCACTGGGATGTTTACAGTATATTCTTTACACACTGAACAAAGTACAATACAGGGTGCAGCAGTGCAACCATTTCCTATACAGCTCTGCCCATGAGCCTCAACCCTGGCATAGATGGAGCACCTCTAAGGATGAGATGGTTACAGTGTCCGTGCTCACCCAGCCCTTGGCTTTTCTGATGTGACTGGCATAAATGGCGCCAAGCGGAGGTGATGGAAGAGAGAACAAAGGGGGCAAGAGGAAACCCACCTATACAAACCCAGAAATTAAAATCTGAATTTCAGAAATGACCTTATCAAGTGTTCTGACATTTATAGAAGGCAACTTTGAAAACTACAATCTCCTCAGAGCTGCAACCTGGTGGTTGTTCACTACACTAAAAGAAACTAGGGCAAATAACTCTTGCCTGTGAGTAAATGTTTACTGGTTCTTGTGTAATACTGAGCAGTACAGTGTAGTACAAATAGTTCCAAAATTAAAGGATAACGCAAGACATCACCTGTTTCATGTCCAATTTCCAGATTGTGAGCTGGCTGGGGCAGGGACTGTCTTTATGTCATTTGTTTATACTGTGCCTATTACAAAGGGGCCTGATTCCTCACATGGGAGTTTAGGAGCTACTGCACTAGAAATAATAGTATAGCCATGCAATAATCAGTTATTCAGTGTTTTAATGCAAGGATCAGGCCTGGATTAGGTCTCTCTTGTATATTCCATGCATGATCCTAGCACTCCGCTATTTCCCACAGAGGGGGCCAAAGGAGTGGAAAATCTGGTCCTTTGGGACTGAGATAATGAGGCCTCATCTTCCCCTCCCTCTGACCTCACAAAATCCTGTGAACAAATCTTGTGGGGCATATGGCATCCATGGGTTTTAGGTGGATGTTGCTGGGGCGTGAGTTGTGGGCTCTTTGCAGCTTTGTTCCTTAGAAGCCCACGGAGATTTCCCACAGTAGATTAATTCTGCCACTCTCAGGGTTAGTTCATGCAAACACCTGGTCTGTACTTTTGGCCATTCCCCCATGTCTCCATGAGGGCACTGAGCCAGGAATGAGCAGTAGGGCCCTTTAGAGATCCATGCTGCCACAGGGATCAGGGTCTCACTTCCCAAGGCTGCCCAGAAACCAATGGGATTATCATACATCCATATGGTAAGAAGGCCACTCTGAAGGTGCCTCACCTTGAACTCATGTTGCAGAATAAACTCTGTGACTAGCATGGTTGCGGATCTTTCTCACTATGTGTGGCCTGGTAGTTGTGTTTTCTCAGTACGGCCTGGTCTAGACATGGATTTTTTTTGTCAGTTATGCACATTAGAAAAAACTGCCTTGAAAATTGGTATATCTTAGGTCATTTTTAGATTCCCTGGGATTCTATATTGTGTGAGCATTTCGTGTACCGTGTGCTGAATAATAACATGAGGATTCCGTTCTTATTAAACTAACCTGGCTCTTCATTAAAGCAACTGTTTATAGAATTACTCCAGCCACACCTTAACATTCCTAGCCGTGTGCACACAGACTGACTTCCCAGTTTCTCCTCCAAACTCTTCTCTCCTGCAACCTATTCACCTCTCTCCATGGTCCATGTACGTTGCTACAATGAGAATGATAGATTCCAAGTCCAGAAGAGACCATTGTGATCATCTAGTCTGACCTTCCATATAACATAGGCCATAGAACTTCACCCAGTCATTCCTGCAACGAAGACAATCCTACAAAGAATCAAACCCAAGAATATTTACAATAAAAATAAATTCCTTAATGTTTTGCTTTTGACTGTAACTCACAGCTCATAAAACAGCGTAGTCTATAACCTCTGCAGATCAATACAGTCTGAGACCTCTAATACAGTCTGAGGCCTTGTAAACTGGAACATTTAATGGGATTAGGACTAAAATGTACCAAGGCAGCTAATTTTTCATTAACTATTAATATTAATAGGCTCTTCTAAATGTATTTCACAAGTTTCAATAACAACCTAGTAACTTGGTATGGCATTTTAGCAATTTATAATCCCCTCCTGTAACAGGGATCTGAATTAATCTTTATACATCTCATTAGTTTAGCCATCACAGATCTTTTACAAGGCAATTGGCTTTCAGCAGCCTTCATTTAATTTAATTTATTAATATCTCATTTATATTTCATATATGCTGTTTTAATTATTAAATCGCTTCATCTCAGAAACATAATTCTGTTATACAGCACCTACTCTATGCTTTTAGAGCCTGAAAAAATTTTAAAGGCATTTTTGAAACAAGAGAAGATTTTTGTTTGTTTGTAAAATCAGATCTTAATTTTGAGCCAGAGGTTCATGAAGTTTTTCTTAGCAAATGAAATTGATTTTTGTTCTTTTTTAAAAAAATTTTCTCTATTCTATATATAAAATTTTATAATAGAATTACAAAAGTGCAAACTATACAGGGCAGAATTATCATTTGTAGAAGTACCATTAAACAGCAAATACAGATATTTGGGTGTTTGGGGCGTGGGGGTGGGGGAGGGGAGTGACCAGTAAATAGTCTTCTCCGATAGCACTATAGCAATATTCATATCTGCTATCCAGTGTAATAATTATTATTATTCATTTCAGTGAATAATCTGAAGTACATGCCATTAAGAAGAATAATTCATGTTCATAGAGCAGCCTTCATCCCAAGAATGCCAAAGCAATTACAAACAATGCACCATGAGTCCTGCTCATCCTCTTCTTCCCATTAGTTCCACTAACCTCAATGGAACTAATCACGTGAATAGAGGCTGTGGAACTGGACAGGATGCTGGGACAGGCATATAGGGTTCAGCTGCCTTATTCTGGTGTCCTGTTGTAGAACCCCACTGAAAGATGCAGAGCTGTTTGCTAACAGATGTTGGCAACCAGACTAGGTGGGGTCCCATCAGCTCTAATTATGGAGCATAAGTACTGTAATTCCAGAGTGTCTCTGAGGCAGAAGAGAATTAAGGATAGGAACAAAGTGGTCCTGCAGAGACAGGAACAGCCAAGCTCCTCTTGAGATTATATTGTCAGTTAAATGAACAATAAAGACAAAGCCAAGGAAAGGGGTATGTTTGGACAATACCCAGGGCGATTGCTGTGTTAGGAGCAGGATGGGAATGCCGTCCACTTAAACAGATGCTACACACAGTACCGCTGAAATGAGTCCATCTCGGGGTCAGGGGGGATGCAAGACAAGGTATCAAACAGCACACACAACATTGCACAACAGGGCAGAGAGGGAAAGTTGTGACCATAGAGAACCAAGAAAGCGCCATTCCAAAAAATGTCACGAGATCTTGAGGGTCTGTTTTTTGGCACGGAGAGAGAAAGACCTAATCTGTGTGTAACCACTGTGACTGCCTGCGTGTATTTGGGGATTTGAAGGTGCAATAGCAGGAAGCGTGCCTCCGGTTGCACGTATTCCAAGCCACCTAAGCATTGAAAATCAGGCCTTTGGTGTCCATGTAGCGGAGAAAAGACTTGATATTTTTAAATATCCCATCTGAAAAATCCACAGGGCGTGCACTCAACTTACTGTACCTACTTCAGGCCAAGAACGGGCTGAGTCCCCCTGCTGTGATTGGTGCCTGAGGTTTCATGGAGTCTAGGGATTCCAGCTCTGATGCTGAGACCACCAAGCTCCATCCTGGAGAAAGATCTTCCTCCTCTCTCAGGAGTAATGTTCAGGCAAGAAGCCCAATCCTGCACCCATTGAGGTCAATGGGTATTTTGCCATTGACTTTCAATGAGAGCAGTATGGGACCTGCGGTACTGCGTGAGAGACAACAGCAAATGAATACATCTCTGTAACAATGATAGGGTCAGCTCCTCCTCTCCTGCAGGAAAACCAGGTGGGAGGAATTCTCAGTAAGGGTCCCCTTACAGCGTTTCCTGTCAAATTGCTCCATTGTGGGTTTCTATCCTCCCTCCTCCTACAGAATAGGCAGGTGGTTCCACCCTTGGGACCAGCAAATCCCTTGACAGTCACCAGACATAAAGAGCCACTGCTGCAGTCTTTGTTCCTCTACACTGCCTCCTGGCCCCCGGCTGCTCTTCCCTGACTCCCTGTCAGCAGCTTCCTCTAGCACCCTCATCAGAAGGCGTCCCATTCAGAAAGGAATGTTGTCCTAGCTGTGTCATGTTCTGAGCAGAGTTCCCACGAGATTGGGGGGCGGGTGTGTGTGTGTTTCTCGCCACCCTACTTCCCCTCCCACTGTGTACAGATCCTCAGACCTAAGAAGGGTTCTCTGCAGGGCCCGGGGCAGTGTGGGGACAGGTGTGGTGATCCATGCACAGAGATTCCCTCTGTATGGAGAGCTGGGGTGCCTAATTGTCTTAACCCCTGCTAACAGGCTGTACTTGCTAATCATGCGCGTGTCACTGTGCATTAAATCAGCTAGGGATGTGAGTCTCCCTTGGGAGCTATTTGCCATGATGTGAGTAACCTCTGTCAGCTAAAGCCCTCCTGGAGGGAAAGTTTTTAAACAATGCTGTGTGTTCTATCCTCCAGTAGCAAGCAGGGCAATGAGCATGTTCTTCCCACGGTCACTTGCTGCTGTAGACCAGCAGTTCTCAAACTTCATTGCACCGTGAGCCCCTTCTGACAACAAAAATTACTACAGGACCCCAGGAGGGTCATGGGGGACCAAAGCCCGAGCCCCACTGCCCTGGGCAGGGGGGGCAAAGCCAAAGGGCTTCAGCTCTGGGCAGTGGGCATTTAACCTGAGTCCTGCCACTCAGGGCTGAAGCCCTCGGGCCTCAGCTTAAACGCCGGGCCACAGCAAGTCTAATGCCAGCCCTGGCAACCCCATTAAAACACGGTCATGACCCGCTTTGGGGTCCCGACCCACAGTTTGAGAACCACTGCTCTAGATAAAGGTTAGTATCAATGAATAATATAAAGAGAGAGAATCAGGGCAGCAAGAAAATAACACACAAAGGACCAAGTTCAACTCCCAGTGAGATGGGTGTAAGTCTGGAACGATTCCAGAGTGACTGAGCATTGAATGAATGGAACAAGCAGTGGGGTGACTCCAGAATTACAGCAGTGTGACAAGAACGTGATCGGGCCTACAAGTGGTGAATGATGTTAGCGCTCTCTGTGCTGAATGGCTTCTGGCTGTATTTTGGCACTTGGGTTGTCCTGAGCAGGGTGGTGAGAGGCAGTGTCAGGGAAAGCAGCCATCTACAGTGTTTTATTTAAAGGGACATTATCAGTTTAGTTTAGGCCCCAAGTTTTAAATTTTGTTTGGGGAAAAAATGGGGAAGAGGGTGGCAGGGCTACAAAGGCTGACAAAAGTCACAGCTTGAGTTGGCATGGCTCCACTTCTAGGGGTAGCCTCTGGCATAGCTGTGCTAGGCAGGCAGCAGTCTAGGCCATCATATCTACTAGGACATCATGTCTACAAGGACACCACCAGAATAGACTGAGTGTGTTACTCACCTGCCAACAAGCCACCTCCTGCTTGAACTGTCCCCTGGTGTTTCTGCCCACCTGGAGTTCCCCTGTTTCTGTTGGTACCTCTGGCCTTAAAGTCTATGTGCCTAACATTATGATCATCTAGGTTGACTTCCTAAATGTCACAGGCCATGGAACCTCACGCACCCACTCGTTGAATAGCCCCTAATCTCTGGCTGAGTTACTGAACTCTTCAAATCATGGTTTAGAGACTTCACAATTTATTCTAGTTCAAACCAGCAAGTGATCTATGCCCCAGGCTGCAGAGGAAGGTGAAAACCCTCCAGAGTCTCTGCCAATCTCACTTGGGGTAAAATTCCTTGCCAATCCCAAATATGGCGATCAGTTAGACCCTGAGCATGTGGGCAAGACCCACCAGCCAGACACCTGCTAAAAAGAAAAGGAGGACTTGTGGCACCTTAGAGACTAACAAATTTATTTGAGCATAAGCTTTCATGAGCTACAGCGAATGCATCCAATGAAGTGAGCTGTAGCTCATGAAAGCTTATGCTCAAATAAATTGGTTAGTCTCTAAGGTGCCACAAGTCCTCCTTTTCTTTTTGCGGATACAGACTAACACAGCTGCTACTCTGACATCTGGTAAAGAATTCCAATAACACAGAACCCTCTCCATGAAGTGTCTCCTTTCCAGCCGTTGGACATATTTGCCAATAGCAGATGTGGCTGTGCAATATAGGCAACCTGGTCACCTGTGACAGGTGCCTTTGAGTATTAAATACACTGCAGAATCCTTGGGCTTGAACTACATTGGCACCTCCTTTGATCACCACTACAGCCAGCACAAAGGACCTGGGAGTTAAAAACACCTGCTGTACCCAAGTGATGAGGGGATCCCTTTAGAACTGGTTTCAGAGTGGTAGCCGTGTTAGTCTGTATCAGCAAAAACAACGAAGAGTCCTTGTGGCACCTTTGTTAGTCTCTAAGGTGCCACAAGTTCTCCTCGTTTTTTCTTTAGAACTGAGGACATGACAATAACAGGGCTGCTGAATTGGGTGGGTGACAGGGAAGAAGGGAGCAGGGGCTGATTGATCTGGGGAAGACATCAAATCCCATCTTCACCTAGGAAACCGTGGGTCATCCACATCGAGCCCCCACGTCCATTAGGCACACCAAGCCATGACACAGACCTGCAGGCAATGAGAACGAGCCCATGTGCACTGCTACTTGGTGGCTTCTGCAGCAACCTCAGCTCCCACACTTGAGACTTTTCTAGTGCCAATGACGTAAGTTGTAGATTCCCCAGGGAGCGACAGCAGTGAGCTCTTAAAATAAGCG